ATTTTTAAATTTTTTTTAACTTTAAAAAGATCCTAAACAGTAAAAGATTAAAAATTTTAAATTCAAACTTTTCATAAACTTTTTTTTACTCATTTTTGTCTTATATTTAAAAGTAACTTTTAAATTTTTCCTCCAATAAAAATTTAAACTTATCACTCATAAACAATAAAAAAAAAAAAAAAAAGGGTCCACAAACAGGTCCTAAGTGTTGTTCCATTGACTTCTTATGAGCCACTGCTTTTAGATGAAATGGGAGTCTTACTGTTTACTCAGCTCGGTTTAGGGTTGCTACAGCAGGTGTATTCGTAAAGAGCATTGCTTTTCTGGGAAAAAAAAAGCGCTTTTCTTTGGATTTTTATTGAAATATAATGTTAGGCATATTGTGGATGATTAGATAGGCGTCCAATGTTAAACTAGGAAGCTTTTCAAAGGTGAAAAATGTGGGAGAGAGAGAGAGAGAAAGATAAAGGGTATTATGGAGATTCAAGAATATGTGGGCCGTACAAGTCAAGGCCCCCCTGAACATGGTCCATCAGTATGGATAAGATGGGACCATAAATTTGTAATTTTACCAGCGTTTTTTCTATTTCTTTTCTTCTTAATTTTCATTTTTAGCAATATATGGTTTCCAGATTGCCTCAAACCCAAGTGATTACGAAGCATTCTTGATTTTAAACTGCTTGATTTATACTAGCTAAAGATGTAAATGCAGAACACCTTATTTTTCACCATTGAAAATTGAATGAGCAACAAAAGATAGTTTCAGGATTCATTTTTTGGAATTGCTATTTACATGCACCCGTTTTTCTGGATACATGTAATGCGCATAAGTCTCACATTATTTTCATAGCTAAAATATAGAGACTCCTGCACTTGTGTGGATGCAGCCATTATCTGCTTGTAAATAGCTAATTCCTTTATTTTTATGGTATTAAACTAGTTGTTAATTTACAATTAAATAGAAAGAAAAAAAAAACTAGTTAATTTATTTCAGTTTAGTTTAAAAATAATTTTTTTAAAATCATCTATAAATTATTAATTTTATTTTAAAATGATCTACTTAACAAACATTCTGTTAACTAGACTAACGAAATGCTAGTTTAGACAAGTTAGTGTAAACAAGTTGCTTTTTAAATTTTTTAAAAATATTAAATATAGTACATATGTTTTTGTTTTTTGTAACATTTTGTTTTTAAAATTTAAATTTTATGTTAAATGTAATAATTAATTAAGATAATAATTTTAATTTACATTGATCAAGATTTTAATTTTAATTTACAATAATCAATATTATAATTTAAATTTTATTAT